CCAAAAAAATAAGGGGTGGGTATGGACGGGTAGAGGTTTCCGTCGGGTAACCGTGGTATACACGATCTGAGTCTTGTAGCCTTGCAGGCTTTGTATTTTTTGTGCAAGCATGACGCTTTTCCCGTACTCCAAATTTCTCGCTTCCCCATGAAGCAAATGTCTTTTCTCGTGAGGGTGTATCTCTTCACCTTTTTACTTTTCTCGCGAGGGTGTATCTCTTCACCTTTTTACATTTTGCGAGGGTGTTTCTCGCGAGGGTGTATCTCTTCACCTTTCTCGCGAGGGTGTATCTCTTCTCGCGAGGCTGTATCTCTTCACCTTTTTACTTTTCTCGCGAGGGTGTATCTCTTCACCTGTATGTAATATTTATGTGTTTTTTTTTTTTGTGTGGGTGCGTGTGTGTGTGAGAGTGTACGTGTGTGCAATAGACTGAGGGTTGTTGCATTTGCAGATGCTATATAGGTTGCATAGACTGCTGTCGCACCAGATGCATCCATAGCAGCATCACAACTGTTGCTGTTGCCGCAGTACCTGCAGCAGCTGCCACACCTCGAAAACAATAAAATAAAATAATAATATTAATAATAATATTAATAATAATAACAATTACCACGTCAATCCTGTGACTTCCAAGGGGTTGGGGACAGTTGGTTAAGGACAACTAGGGGCGGTTAGAGGCGGTAGGGACAGTTAGGGGTGGTTAGGAACACTGAGGGGCAGTTAGGGATAGTTAGGGGCAGCTATGAGCGGTTAGGGGAGGGTGGGTGATGAGCACGGGTGGTTACGGGTGGGTGCATACAATTATGGGTAGGTAYGGGTGGGTACAGGGAATGAAAACTTGGGTAGGGTAGGGTATGGGTGGTTAACAAATGGTTTGGGATCAGGTGGCCATGGGTGGTTTTGAAAAAAAAAGTTCATGGGTAGGTATGGCCAGTTACATGCTGAAGAGTTTCAGGTAGGGTAGGTCTGGGTATACTTTTTTTTTTTTTTTAAGTAGGTGGAGATGGGTAAAGGTCCGGCAGGCCAGGTATACAATGGGTATGGGTGGTTGGCTTTCAAAGAGGGTGTGGTTAGGTCAGGTACAGGTATTCCTGAAAATCCCAGTTGCGAACTCTACCCTGAATCGAACGGGCAAGCCAAACAGATGAACCGGGTAGTACAACATTTACTACGGCATTATATCAAACCTAGCCAAGATAATTGGGATAAGAGGCTGCCTCTTGTCGCCAGTCTCTATAACAATGTTGTCCACAGTACTACCGGACTAACCCCCAGCCAATTGCACCTTGGTTGGAAACCCAGATCTGCTTTGGACTTTCTTTTGCCTGAGAATCAGCCAGCAGCAGCACCCAGTAGCATCGAATTTGCCATCAAATACGAGCAGATGCTACAACAGGTCGTTGATCATAAAACAAGGTCTCAGGATGCCATGATTGCATCAGAGAACAAACACAGACGGCCCTCCAAAGTCATCTGAACTCGGTCAGGAGATGGGTATATCGCGAAAGCTAATGCCACAGTATTCTGGCCCATGGGAAGTCCTAGACATAGTCGGAAACCAGATAGATGGACCCTCCTACATGATCAAGATCTGCTCACTTACACACACACCCGGTTTTCCACACTTCAAAGTTTGCACCTTTTGCTGAAACAACACAGTTTCCTTTCAGGCGATCTATGCTGCCCCCAACCATGGACGGAGAAGTCGACATTGACGACATTGTGGAACACAGAATCATGCCTGTGCCGAAACCTCCGGGCAGAGGACGACCGCCAAAGCCACGGATGCAGTACCGGGTGCGATTCAGACACCATACTGATCCAGGTGAAAATCGGTGGTTCACCAGAGAGGAACTACAGCAGACAGCTCCCCAAGTGATTGCAGGGTATGAAAGAAGACTCAAGGGGAACATGCCTGCAAGTTAGAGGACTTCTCAGGGGACTTTCGAAGTTAAGGAGGAGGAAATGCGAGGATCTAGCTCCTCGGCAGGCTTGAGGGGCCCTATTGCAATGTGTGCCTGCCGTAAGTGAAGACGGGCCTGATGAAATTATAAGAGGCCCATTGTTGTCAATTTTGCATTTTGGGGTTCAGACAGTTGCGTCGCGCCAGTTGGTTGAGGGAACCCAGGCCACGTCCAGCAGCACTTTGTTTCGGCATTCTAGGCCTTTCTTGGAAGCAGGCCCTGAGCCGCACACAAAGAAGGAGGCACGACAGGCAGTTTGGGGGCTGTAACTGAACGGGGGCCAGAGCAGCAGGGCCTACTGGAAGCTTCTGGGCACAGGCCCAGCCCAGCCAGGCAGCAGACCAGGCCAGGCTCTTTCCATATAGGAAAGAGCTCGCTGCCTGGCCAAGCATTCGGGCACTGGCCAATCGTACGGCAGTGCTGCTTGAGCCCGTGCTCGCGTGCTGTGCGTTGCGATAGGTGAGGTGCTCGCACACATGCGGTCGTGTAAGGCAGGGCGCTGCTGCTGAGGGCAGCGCCATAGCCCAGCTTCCATAGCTGGCTGGGCTTGTGTGTACGGCAAGGTGTAGTGGTGGTCTCCGTGCATGGGAAAGAGGACATGGGCGAGAGACAAGGTTGAGTGAGAGAGAGAGATGACGATGATGACGTGAGGGCACATACCTGGTCTCGGCGATAGTCTGCGAGGGGCGACATATTCATGTGCTTCGGTGCGGCTGCTGACGTCAACAGTTGCATTGTCAATTCGTAGGATAGAAGTAGCTGTGGGATAGTAGTCTGGGCGCTGAGCGCCAAGTAGGGGAAGGGCTCTGGATACTTATGTTGGTGATGGCGAGTGTATGCTCTCATTGACACTCGGATTCAGTGTTTGGTTCTCCGTTGGTGTAATATCGTTGCAATTCTTTTTTTTTTTTTTTTTTTCCCCCGACCCAGGGAGGTCTACCAGAAGGGACAATTTTGAGTCCCTGTAACATGAATTCAACGATTNTTTTTTTTTTTTTAAACAAACCCCCGCCAGTGTTAGAGATGCTGATAGGAGCAGACATCTCTAACACCTGGGGAGAGACTCCATCTATTGGTGGGGAGCATCACCTGCTGGGAAGCGGGCCCAGCGTCCCATAGACAGATGAAGTTTGCAACGTGTCTGATCTAGAAACATCGTGGGAGAGCCCTGCCAGCATTGATTACCCTGGCGTMCAGGGGATTGGCTGAGCAGGCAATGCCAGATACATGCTGTAGCTCTCTAGTTCCCCCCCCCCCCACATAGTCCTTTTTTAGAGAGAATCTGAACTGTTTCGTTGACTGAGCAGGAGAATGGGAAGGGAGAGTAAACCTCTTCGCCCTGAAGCGGGCGCCAGATATCTACTGTAAGAACCTAGTTCCTCCCCTTCCTTCCTCGCCGCCACCTGCTTGAGGCAGTGCTGTACCAGAACCCAATTTGTTATTCTCTCCCCCTCCTCCCTCGCCTGGATCTTCTTGCGACAGAGCTGTGCAAAACCACAATATGTTACTCATCCATCCCATACCACTTCATTTCCACCAGGCAGTGTGAGGGGGGGGGGAAGAAGTCGGGGAACTCTTCAGGGGGTTTCAATTCTGCTTTCTGGACAGTGTGGGACTTGCTGGCTTTCAACGTGATTTTGCAATCTGAAATCTGTCATTTCGCTATTGCTCATTTTCCTTGCAGTTACGCAGAGTGAGGGCAGGACTCCTCGAGTTCGAATTCCAATGGAATCAAATGAGTCAAAAAGTGACTCTTGACATTACCTGGGGCTGGTCAATTCAAATGCCAAAGACGATATTTCAACGCCGTCACCCTTCACGCTTTCAAAAGAAAAGGGGGAGAAAAAAAAAAGATTGAAAGCAACCACACTAGCCCATCCACACTCTCTCATTCGATCCCCTGGGGCCGTGTACTAGTGGTTTAAGGCTCTGTTAACCGTGTCTCCCCAGGTGGCATCTACACGGAAAAGTCTGGACTTAGTGCCTTCCCCTGAGCAAAGCGTAGCTTCAGGACTGTATTCAGTGCGGAAAAGTTGCATACAGGCTCAAAATTGTGGCCATCATGCCTGGGCAATAAAGGTAGTGTAGTGACTACGTTGGGAAAAAGGTGGTCCTCCCAAACAGTGGGGGTTTAAACTTTAAACCACTAGTTGTTTCCCAGCTATCTTGTTCCAACACAGCAATTAAACCACCAGTACTTGGCCCAGCTACTGAAGCCGAGCCGGGAGACGCCCTGCGCGCCAAGTTTTGCCAAACTGACAGCGCGGCATTTTGTTTCGATTTTTCCTGGTGCCTCCAGCCTTTGTGCTCCGGTACCCCGAAGCACATAGGTCGCGGCGGCGGTGGCGCATTAACGGGAAACACCCATGGCCGATGTACGGGCCAAGTACTGGTGGTTTAACCCATTGGGTCCTTACGGGCTCAGAACGGTTCGAGGAGGCCTTCAAAAAGAAACCCTGTGGGGCAGTGTGCGCCCGGTTGGTGCTTCCCTTGCAGGGACGGCAGACGTCTTATGGGCATTATCATGGAAGGGGCGTAGTGGTTGTACGGACGGGAGAAGCAGAGCTTTGGAGCCACCGCAGAGCGTGCAGATGTCTGCAGCTGCATATACGAGTAGGGAAATTGCCGCGCTGGGGAAAAGTGCGCAGTGGCGCGGCAATTGCTGATTTTTCAAGCCCCAAAAATTATGCATGCTATCACTATGATATGGTAACCTCGTGCCACCTCTCCTGCACAACCGCTCTGCTGCCCGCGAATCCTAGCCATCGTCACTTTTTGAATCGGGTCTCCACTGCCTCTGCTCAGTGCTTGCAAGAGAGAGAGAGAGAGAGAGAGAGAGAGAGAGAGAGAGAGAGAGAGAGAGAGAGAGAGAGAGATGGGTAACACATGGAGGGTTTATTGTTACATACACAGGTCGTGGGCCTGGAAGGTTTGACAAAGGTGTCCCATATATACATAGGTGCTGGGCAGGGAAAGGGTGCGAGAGATGGGTGACAAAGGGTGTGTGGTGCAGTCAGATGGTTATGGAGGTAATACCTTGTCCCATGGCCACCAACACAGCGAATATTGCTAATCCTGACCCCCTTGCAGCCATTATACAAAGCAATGTTATCGTCACCTGAAACAATGACAACAAGTGCACCCACAGTGTCATTCCCCTGCTTTATACCGACACACATTTCCAAATTCCAAACTCACTCCCTCTCTCTCTCTCTCTCTCTCTCTCTCTCTCTCTCTCTCTCTCTCTCTCTCTCTCTCTCTCTCTCTCTCTCTCTCTC